CCGGCTAGTTTTTTGTATTTTTTAGTAGAGATGGGGTTTCACCGTGTTAGCCAGGATGGTCTCGATCTCCTGACCTCATGATCCGCCCATCTCGGCCTCCCAAAGTGCTGGGATTACAGGCTTGAGCCACCGCACCCGGCCCTTTTTGTATTTTTTGTAGAGACAGGGTTTCGTCATGTTGGCCAGGCTGGTCTCGCACTCTGGGACTCAAGTGATCCTCCTGCCTCAGCCTCCCAAAGTTCTGGGATTATAGGCGTAGGTTGCCGTGCCCAGTTTAAACCTCTTTTCTTTATAAATTACCCGGCCTCAGCTATTCCTTTACTAAAATGCAAATGGACGAACAGACCTGGGGGGACTCCACTTTTGGCTCTGGGTAATCATGCTGCCAGGAACGTGGGGTTATAAAATAATGCCATTTCCTTAGAGCAGGTTTCCCCATCGTGGCTGTATCTAGGGCCTGCTACTTCTCTGTTCTGGGCGTTCAGCAACGTCACTGGCCTCTACCCACTACATGCCAACAGTCTTCCCCATCAACTTGTGACAACCAAAAAATCTCTAGAAATCGTCAAATGTGCCCTGAGAGCCAAGATCACATGTGACCGAGGATCACTGCCTTTCACTGCTCTCAGTAAAAAGAATACAAAGCACCAGGCGCGGTGGCTCACGCCTGTAATCTCAGCCAGCACTTTGGGAGGCAGAGGCAGGCGGACCACCTGAGGTCAGGAGTTCGAGACCAGCCTGGCCAACATGGAGAAACCCTGTCTCTACTAAAAATACAAAATTAGCCGGGCATGGTGGTCCATGCCTATAATCCCAACTATTGGGGAGCCTAAGACAGGAGAATTGCTTGAACCTGGGAGGTGGAGGTTGCGGTGAGCCGAGATCACACCATTGCATTCTAGCCTGGGCAACAAGAGCGAAACTCTGTCTCAAAAAAAAAAAAAAAAGAAAATAGAAATAACTCAGGTCTAAGACCTCCTCCTAGTCACGACCAGTTTTCCGCATTCGTCTTGGCTTGAGTGATCTACACAGTCTGTGTCTATCTGCCATCTAAGTTCTTGCATCTCGTACGTAAGCCGCACCTCAAAGATGGCCAAGGAGAAGGGGTGGGCCAGCCTCTTTTCGTCCTCCAAGACAGTCTTCCGGTTGCCCCCGTTGACGTTGATGCTTGAGATGGAGTGAAGTTTAGAGTCAACCCAGTAGAGGCGGTCACTGGGGAAATCTAGAACACACAAGTGGATAAGGAGAGGTCACGTGCCGATGCCAGTCCCAGAGGGGCCTGCGGGCCTGGCCACGCTGATCCAGGCAGGAAGAACCCCCCAGGGACCCAGCAGAGGTACCTGGAGAGGCAGCTCCAACCATGTGTGAGCCTGAACCCCTCCCCTGTGACGCCCTCTGCAACAGGCAGGTAGGGGAGCTGCAGGTCAGAAAAACCTCAGGGAGGCTGGGTACGGCGGCCCACGCCTGTCATCTTAGCAGTTTGGAAGACGGAGGTGGCAGGGACCCTTGCACCCTGGAGTTTGAGACCAGCCAGGCCAACATAACAAGACTTTGTCTCTTCCCCAAAATAAAATACAATTAGTCTGTGTGGTGGCACGTGTCTGTAGTCTCAGCTACTCAGGAGGGTGAGGCAGGAGGATCACTTGAGTCTGAGAGGTGGAGGCTGCAGTGAGCTACGATTGCGCCCCTGCACTCCAGCCTGGGTGACAGACCAAGACCTCATCTCAAAAAAAGAAAAAAACAAAGAAAAGAAAGAGGGACACCTTCAGGGAGCAGCTTGGGCTTGTCCCAGAGCCACCTGTCGACCCCCGTCAGTCCTTCAGCCTGTGTCCGGCCCTGGCTGGGACAGCCGTCCTGCGAACATACCTAGCGTGATGCCATTGGGCCACTGAATGTTTTCAGTCACCAGCGAGTAGATGTCCACACCGTTCAGGCCCCCTTTCTTGATCTTGGCGGGAGTTCCCCAGTCAGTCCAGTACATGAAGCTGGTGGGAGAACAGAGAATAACTGTGAGGCTGGAGGGTGGGGGAGGATCCCAGCCAACACGTGCAACGAATTCTGGCAGAAACAGCCAGGCTCAGGCTTGGTAAACAGCCCTGCTGGGAACCCCAAACTCCAAATATGGTTTGTTTGGGGTTTTTTTGAAACAGAGTCTGTCTCTGTCACCCAAGCTGGAGTTCTGTGGCATGATCTCGGCTCGCTGCGACCTCCACCTTCCAGGTTCAAGCGATTCTCCTGCCTCAGCCTCCCGCGTAGCTGGGATTTCAGGCGCGCGCCACTACACCTGGCTACATTTTTGTATTTTTAGTACAGACGGGGTTTCACCATGCTGGCCAGGCCCAGGAGGCTGAAATCGGAGGATTGCTTGAGCCCAGGAAGCTGAGGCTACAGTGAGCTATGATCACACCACTGCACTCCAGCCTGGGTGACAGACTGAGACGCTACCTCGAAAGAAAAAGAAAGGAAGAAACATAAGAACACAAGCCACGCACAATGACTTGCGCCTGTAATCCCAACACTTTGGGAGGCCAAGGCAGGAGGATTGCTTGAGGCTAAGAGATCAAGACCAGCCTGGACAACATAGTGAGACCTCATCTCTACTAAAAATAAAATAATTTAGCTGGGTGCAGTGGTGTGCACCTGTGGTTCCAGCTACGTGGGAGGCTGAAGTGGGAGAATTGATTGATCCCGGTGGTTTGAGGCTGCAGTGAGTTCTGACTGCGCCACTGCGCTCCAGCCTCAGTGACAGAGCGACACCCTGTCTCAAAACAAACAAACGATAAAAACAAACATGAGACCAGAACACACACACACAACACACACAACATTTGTATCTGAGTGGAGACAGTCTGGAGTCTCTTTCCCGCTGGCCTGGCAGTTATGTGGCCAAACACACTGGGCCACACGTACCCCACCCATTGTTCTGTGGCAACAGTGAGCATTGTCTTGTTTAAAAGAGATCCAGGGTTGGGTTGGGCACAGTGGCTCACACCTGTAATCTCCGCTCTTCGGGAGGCTGAGGTGGGCGGATTACTTGAGGCTAGGCATTCAAGACCAGCCTAGCCAACATGGTGAAACCCAGTCGCTACTGAAAATACAAAAAATATCCCAGCACTTTGGGAGGCCGAGACGGGCGGATCACGAAGACAGGAGATCGAGACCATCCTGGCTAACACAGTGAAACCCCGTCTCTACTAAAAAATACAAAAAACTAGCCGGGCGAGGTGGCGGGCGCCTGTAGTCCCAGCTACTCGGGAGGCTGAGGCAGGAGAATGGCGTGAACGCGGGAGGCGGAGCTTGCAGTGAGCTGAGATCCGGCCACTGCACTCCAGCCTGGGCGACAGAGCGAGACGCCATCTCAAAAAAAAAATAATAATAATAAATAAATAAATAAAAATAAAAAGGGACGCTGGCCCTCGCGGGCCCACCTTCCCCCGCAGGCAAGTTCTGTTCCCTCTAAATGATGCTCTCTTCCCTGCTTTCCCCTGCCGGACACCAAGTGTGCCTTCTCCAGTGATCTCTGCCCGAGACCGAACATTCACCTCCTGATGGTGGCTGTGAGGACGGTGTGCATCCCGGCTTGTCAGCGCCTCACTGAAACTGAGGTGCCACCTCTCACGTGCTCAGGTGGCAGATGTCGCCTGACAGGTACAGAGTACGCCAGGCAGGCGGCAGGGGCGATGCTTCCTGCCAGGGGACACAGGTCAGAGTGCCTTGTCCCAGGAGCTGCTGAGTCAGCCACGGGCTTGGAAGATACCATTCTGGGGCCTAGCCACTAACCACTAACCACTAACCACTAACCAGTTCTTTTTTTGTTTGTTCGTTTGAGACGGAGTCTCGCTCTGTCACCCAGGCTGGAGTGCAGCAGGGCTGTCTTGGCTCACTGCAACCTCCGCCTCCTGGGTTCAAGTGATTCTCCCACCTCAGCCTCCCGAGCAGCTGGGATTACAGGTGCACGTCACCACACCCGGCTAATTTTTGTATTTTTAGTAGAGATGAGGTTTCACCACGTTGGTCAGGCTGGTCTTGAACTCTTGACCTCAGATGATCCACCCTCCTCAGCCTCCCAAAGTGCTGGGATTACAGGCACTTTGAGCCACGATGCCCAGCCCATTAACCAGTTCCTGAAGCCCTTTCCTGCTCCCTCCCTTCCCTCTGCACCCCTCAGCATCATAGATACGCACCCATGAACAGGATCCACCACGATGGCCCTTGGCTTAGAGCCATTCTCTCTGAATAACGTTTTCCTCTTCACACCCTTGGTATCCGCAACGGAGACAGTGCCCAGGACAGAGTCGGTCCAGTAGATGTTGCTGTGGATCCAGTCCACAGCCAGCCCGTCGGGGGCCTGGAGGTCCCTGCTGATGACGGTGTCGTAGGAGGAGACGCTGTGGGCTCTGTCAAGCTGGGTGCTGAGGCAGGAGGAGAGGAGGGCGTCAGGGCCGGGAGCCCTCATCTCATCTGTGGGCCAAGGCTGCAGGCAGGGGCGACGCTCACCTGTAGATCATTCTCTGGGACAGGTCGGACCAGTAGATTCTATTGCTGGCCACCTCCGTGTCCAGAGCGACCACATTCCTCAGGTTGGGGATGAGGCTGGTGTACTCACTCCGGTCCAGCGTCATCTTCCTGACCTCGTGCCGGTTGGTGAAGATGAGGTAGGCGATGGAGCCTGGGGACCCAGGGAGCAAGGTCAGGGGGGCAGAGGAAACCCGGCAATGGAACCGAGAGTGCCTCCCCATCCCCTCGTGTCACCCTGCAGGGTGCAGCTGAGCCAGAGGAGGCACCCAGAAAAACAGGGTGGAAAAGAACTTCCTGATAGGAACAGGCACAGTGGAGCCCACCTGTAATCCCAGCACTTTGGGAGGCTGAGGGAGGAGGATCACTTTTTCTGGGAGTGTAAGGCTAGCCTGGGTAACACAATGAGACTTTATTGCCACAAAAAAAAAAAAAAACTTTGGCCGGGCACGGTGGCTCAAGCCTGTAATCCCAGCACTTTGGGAGGCTGAGGTGGGCGAATCACTTTATGTCAGGAGTTTGAGACCAGCCTGACCAATGTGGTGAAACCCCGTCTCTGGCCAGGCGCGGTGGCTCACGCCTGTAATCCCAGCACTTTGGGAGGCCGAGACGGGCGGATCACAAGGTCAGGAGATCGAGACCATCCTGGCTAACA